GGGGGGGAAAATCATGGTTATTTTAAATTCATTTAACTATTACTGCTCCAAAGAAGTTTTTTAGAGCAGGAACAGTGATAAGGAGAGGAGGGAGGTGGGAAAGGAAATAAGAAGAACAGGGTAAATATCAAAAGAAAATATAAGCCATGAACCAAAGGATTCAAATGATGAGACTAGACTCAGCTGGAACAGAAGGGTTCCAGAACAGAGATGGTATCCAAAATGGTCCAACAGAGAAAGCAGCAAGATTTGAAAGGCTTTAGGTGAAGCACAGAAGCCACGGCCATGTATAACTGAAGCCATGTTATGCTCATTACTTCACCTAAATTTTTAGAATGCTGTTAAAGAAATACTGATATCATCTAATCAGATATTTTATCACATACACCTAGCAATCTAAAGATCTTCTACTTCTAAATACCTCACAATTTACAACATTCCTTTTGTTCACTTATGCAGGCATACAAGCAGAAAACCTAACAATTATCATAAACTATGCAATTCATGAGTCCAATGTGATAGCTCACCAGATCGGGAAGAATATGGACAATATAATTAGTTAAAACTCCAAGCTTATTTAATACTATGTGCCGACTACACTTAAAGTTTTAAGAAATGAAATGTGGAAGAAAATAATAATAATAAAACTCCAAGCTTTAGAAAGGCTTTGCACTTTATTTGGGTAGTCTTGCCACTTGACAAAATATTCTCTTTGCCAATCTCATTAAAACAGGATGCTGTGATTCAAAACAAAACAAAACTAACTTCTAAGTCTTAGCATATCAGAGAACAACTGCACATTTTGAAAGGTTGCTCACCAAATTCTAGTCCATGCTGGTATCTTAACATCAGTTCTCGGACCACACTCAATTTCTGATTTTTATCCATCGTGTGGTACAAGCCTAGTAACCTCGTCAGCTGCACCACACACAAATGCTGCTGCAGAGCTCTGATGTCAGCAGGCAGTGCCAGCTTATCCTCTGTTGGTGTCGACAAAGGAACAACTCCAAGTAACTGATTAATAAACTGCAGAGTGGAAAAAAAAAAAAAGGAGGACAGGTCTCAAAACAGATCTAGTTTTCAGTAGGCCATAATTAAAAAATACTGAAATGGTCTAGAAAAAGACGTCAATCAAGAAAAAATAAAAATTAAAATCCTTTTACAATATCATTTTTTATTTACCAAACCATATTTTATTAAGATAAGAGTAATGAAATAAAATATACATTGTTTTGATATATTGATAATGTTAATTATATTTTAAAGTTAAAGTCAATGTTTAATTTTATCAGGTATCTAAATAATTATATATTTAAATATAATGTACATACACCCCACACCTATAAAGTTATATACAGACTAGAGGCCTGGTGCACGAATTCATGCACAGGTAGGGTCCAGCCAGCCCGCCCTGATGGGGGCCCATCGGGCTGGGCAGCTGGGGAGAGAGGACATGAGAGATTGGCCGGCCCTGCCCCTGATGGGGGAGTGCAATGGGGGGGGGAGGGGGGATTGGGGGCGAGGCCAGCCCGGGAGGGGGGCCACAGGAGGTTGGTGGGGGGGCCGATCGGGGCCCCAATCAGGTTGGTTGGCCACTGCAGTGTGCATCATAGTGACTGGTCATTCCAGTCATTCTGGTGTTCCAGTCGCTTGGCTTTTATCCTATATATTAAAGGTTAATATGCAAATAGACCGAACGGTGGAATGACCAGTAGCTATGACATGCACTGACCACCAGGGGGGTAGATGCTCAACACAGGAGCTGCCCCTGGTGGTCAGTGTGCTCCCAAAGGGGGAGTGCCACTCAGCCAGAAGCCAGAAGCTGGGCTCATGGCTGGCGAGCGCAGCAGGCAGTGGTGGGAGCCTCTCCTACCTCTCTGGCAGTGCTAAGGATGTCCGACTGCTGGCTTAGGCCCGCTCCCCACCAGCAGTTGGACATCCCCTGAAGGCTCCCAGACTGCGAGAGGGCACAGGCCAGGTTGAGGGGAACAACAAGCCTTCCCCTGCCCCGCCCCCGCAAGAATTTTGTGCACCAGGCCTCTAGTATATATAGATTATGTATGTATGTGAATATAATTATGAGCAATAAAAATGAATAAAATAATAAAATATATTAAACATTCTAACAACTTTGACTATATTCTATTTTTCTTTCTTCAATTAGAGGTTATTCCCATTTTAAAAGAATTTGGCTCCTAATTCATTGGGACAACAGTTCTCAGTTTGAACCTTACAGGGCAATTTGCAATCCTCTTACAAACTGCTGAGCAGCAGAATCCCACATTTAAAAGGTTGTGGCAGCAAAATTACCCCTCAATGAAAAATTTACATAGAACTACACAACTCATTGCAGCAGCTTTAAATCCTTTGTATCACAGAACAATGACTACTTTAGCATTGCTAGTATTCCAGCATTTCTAGAGGGTTCCTCTTACTACATCACTATGATGAGATCCTGTGAGATGACCTAGGGCAGTGGTTGGCAAACTGCAGCTCGCGAGCCACATGTGGCTCTTTGGCCCCTTGAGTGTGGTTCTTCCACAAAATACCAACTTCTGCACATGGGCCACAAAGTTTCAATCGCACTGTACGTGTGCACCCGAACATGGTATTTTGTGGAAGAGCCACACTCAAAGGGCCAAAGAGCCGCATGTGGCTTGCGAGCCGCAGTTTGCCGACCACTGACCTAGGGTTTTCAAACATACCAGCAAAGCAAAGGGGCTGGTACCAGATTCATACTAGCAAACCTTTATGAATCTCAGTTGATGACAATATAAGTGTTCCTCTAATGCATCCCCATCATTTGATGCTTCAACTTACAAGATGGTAAGCACTATAAGACATGATCAATTGTTCCCTAGCTTAGCCCTTAGCACATTGTAAATGCTACAAACACTGAATGAATCTCTCCCACATGGTTCCATAGTCTGCTTACTAATAAATCCCTCCAGTAACATGAAATTCAAACACTATTTTTAGAGAATTCTGGCTACTAAAAAGATCTTTTTCTCACTAAATTCTGAATTCCCTGTAACAACTTGCTGACTGAGTGGAAGAGAGAGTTTAGTACTGGTTCTCATCCCTTTCCTACAAGAGAGCTTTCAAATATGAGAAAGTAAGTAATGTGGAATACTATTCTGCAATAAAAATGAATGAACTATTGATACATGTAACAAATGCATGAATCTCCAGGGTATTATGCTGAGTGAATAAAGCCAATCTCAAAAGGTTATACAAAATATGATTCCATTATATAAAATTCTTAAAATGACAAAATTGTAGAAATAGAAAACATTAGTTGTTGCCAGAGGGTAGGGGTGAGGAAAGGGGAGGTGCAGGGAGGTGGCTGGGGGTAAAAAAGAGTAGCACATGGGATCCTGATAGTGAACTGCTCTGTATCTTGATGATGGTGGTGGTCACATACTCCACATGTATTACATACTGCTTTAAGAACAAAAAAACACCCCTAGCTGGTTTGGCTCAATGGATAGAGCGTTGGCCTGCGGACTGGTTTGCGGGCTCCATCCCTAGTAGGGGGCATACAGGAGGCAACCAATCAATGATTCTCTTTCATCATTGATGTTTCTATCTCTCTCTCCCTCTATCCTTCCTCTCTGAAATCAATAAAAATAAACAAAACAAAACAAACAAACAAACAAAAAACACCACACTTACAAATGAATGCATGCAAAACTGGGGAAATTCAAATAAGGTCAGGGGATTATATCAATATCAATTTCCTAATTATGCTATTATACTATAATTATGCACTATGTTAGCATTAGAGCAAAATGGGTGATGGGAATACAGTGTTCTCTGTATTATTTCTCTTATAACTGCATATAAATCTACAATTATCTCAAAACACACATAAAAACAAAAAAGGAGAGTCTAATTATCTACAAAGGGGTTATTCTCATTGTGCTTAACTTAACAAGAAATCATGCCTTTAATCTGATAGCCCCTAGAAGTACTTGGCTTGATAGAGCAGTTATCTTGATATCTCATGTTCACCACTCTCTCACATTTTAGAAAGGAAACCCAAACACTTAACCTAGTTACAACAAATACAGGCACCCAAAAGAATTCCGAATAGTACTTACCTTTGTACACTGTGCAGCAGGCAAGAGATCAACAAACACCTTGAGGTCTGTAAAACAGCAAGGTTTATCCCCAAACTTTTTAAAATACTGAAACATTAATTCTTCTGGGTCACCTAAGAGAGAAAAATAAAAACTACTAAGTTATTCATGGACTGAAGCAATTTCTAATTTAAGTACAGGTCTGATTTGAAAAATCTTTAAATTAAAATTTTGTTTGAATGCCTGAGTGAGAGTGAATGAGAATAACAATGAGGGCTGGAAGGCGGCTTGTGTAGTTAAAAATAAAAGAAAATACTTTTAAAAGGAGTAGAATCTTACATTCAGTTTACCTATTAATACACTTAGGAAATGTGAAGCTCTCTATTCAATTAAAATTTAAACAGTTAAAAAGTTTTCATCAAAGTTTAAAGAGTTAAGTTTACATGCAAACATTAAACAAACATGCTTCTCTACAACAGTTCCTGAACTACTGCAGTATCAAATAAATGTTAATTAAATGAAAGGTACTGTTGGTTAACAGCCACACCAACAGAAGAGAAAATAAATGGGAAGAACCTCAGGCCAATAACTCCAGCAAGATCACCCACTATTAAAAATTTAAACCTGGAAATGCAGAAAGCTACCAGTTCATTTTATTTTTTCCTCAAATTAAAAACAAAAAATAAAAATAAAATGTTCTCAAATTGAACTAGGTTTAAGAAGCAGAGATTCTAACCAAGGAGTTATGTAAGATTTTAGGTCCCAGTAACTATTCACATGTGTTTGGGAACAGAGGTCCCTCTAACCAATTTTCACAGGACTCTGTGATCCAAAAGAGACTGAAAATCACTCACTGGTCTGGTAAAAAAAAAAAAATTTTTTTAATTGTGGAGACTAGACAAATTCACTCATCTGTAAGATGTGGCTGGCAATAAGGAAGAGAAAGATAGAAGATAAATATATTAACTGTCAAAGCAAATCCAAAGACTTTTATATCCAGCTTTGTAGAGAAAACAATTATCTGGAATCTATTTTAATAATATCTTACTACAGGTCACGCGAAAATTTTCATTTGCAATTCTGGAACTCACATACACAGATTATTGAGGTAGACGCAAGAAAGAAGTTAACATGGAATTCAAAATTGATTGTGAGTAATCTACATAGGGAACGACAGAGAGAAGTTCACAGTTCATTTCAGAAGGAGCTACAAAGAACATTAATTAGATTATTAAAATGAACAAAGATATTCTAGGACAGGTTTTAGGTATTAGAAGTGCTCATCATCCCAGGACAACTGGTCCCTAAAAAACTCCCTCTTAAAGTTTATAAACTTCCACTGAGAACAAAATTTCCATAACAATAAATGGAGGAAAAAGCTTTCTTTGGAGCTTAAAAAATAAAATTGAAAAATGTTAAAAGCTTATTATCTTAAACATAACAAAATTTAGGGCATTATTATTATAAGCTAACACTTAGTATTAACAAAGAATTACTGTTTTGGGGGAGAAGGAATGCCATTTTTCCAACAAAATTATAAACTAACACAATATGACACCCTTCACTTCTTGTGCAATAAGCTAAAACATTCATTTTATAAAAACATCTAAATGCTTCATCAAAGTTCCTGAAGACCTCTCTTAATGCTTCACTATCCAAATACTTATTTTCTCCTACGTCATTATCCTTATAAACTTTATCTTCGTTAATTGCCCTAACTCTGCTAGACAGTCTTTCATCAACGTTAAGAGCTGGGAGCAGATTTTCAATAAAACTTTCATCCACTTCAAGAAATTCTGAAACTTTTATAAACTGGCTATTTTACTTTGAAATTGATTTTGATATTATTGTTGGATCAGCAAAAAGAAAAAGAAACTAACAAAGACTCTGATGGATAAGACAGAGACTGAGGGCTAATTTTATAAGTGATCCATTCACTAGTAAATATTTTCAGGTTATGGAGACATTTGCTTCCTACACGTGACTCTGTTATTGTAGGCTTCAGATAAATGAATACTGCACTTGGGTATTAAGGCCTGACCTGTACCGTCTCCAGGATTCCCAAGTATCACTACAGTTTCTTACCCAGTTTGTACTCATCATTAAAACCTTGACGTCGTAAACGTCTAATCAGCTCCAGTTTAGCTAGATGTGGTCCTCGAAGATGACGAGAACTTTTAGATTCTTCTGTTATCCGATCTTCTATAAACTTCACAGCTTCTTCTGCAGAATAATGTACTTCTCCTTCTAAAGAGCTGGGTATAAACACATGAAAAGGGTATTTTGTGCCTCTACTGTCCATTCCAAAAGTTAAAGCGAAACTGATTTGAAGAAACAAATTAAAAAAATAAGATAAAGCATTTTGATAATTATAAAACTAGAGGCTCAGTGCACGAATTTGTGCATGGGTGGGGTCTGGCCAGCCCGCCTCGATAGGGGCCAATGGGATGGGCTGGTTGGGGGAGGGGACGTGGGAAGTTGGCTGGCCGCCCCCCCGCCATGGCGGGGTGGGGGTGGGGGGGAGCTGATCAGAGGACCAATCAGGAGGGGGCCGGCCGGGAGGAGGGGCTCTGGGCAGTTGGCAGGGCAACCCCCACCCCCTGGTTGTACTTGGGTCAAACTCCGGGTCGAGGGGACAATTTGCATATTATCCTTTTATTATATAGGGTACAAATGGAATAAAAGAGCTGTAAGCATATTCTGGCAGATAACAAGGCATATGATTACTCCCAATTGTGGCATTTGATTACTGCTGAGTGATTAACCAACTCTACCTCTTTTTGAAAAAAAAAAAAAAAAAGAATGGATCATTTTTGCAGTAAGTTTTACTTTAGCCCTAGCTGGTTTGGCTCTGTGGATAGAGCTGAGGCCTGTGGGCTGAAGGGTCCTGGGTTCGATTCCAGTAAAGAGCATATGCCCAGGTTGTGAGCTCAATCACCAGTGTGGGGCGTGCAGGAGGCAGCTGATCAGATTCTCTCTCATCATTGATGTTTCTATCTCTCCCTCTCCTTCCCTCTCTGAAATCAATTAATAAATTAAAAAAAAATTTTTTTTTACTTGATAATTTTACAAAATGGAAAAAAGATCCTACTTTGCAAGTGGTAAAATTATTAAGACAGGAAAAGAGAATTCAATTAGGCTTACAATGAAATTTTTTTGCTACAATATATTTAAAAATGCCATTGTAAAATAAAAGGAAAAAATAGCAAAACAAAGCAACAACAACAAAAACAGTGCCAC